TCTCTTGGTGGGCTGGTTTAAATCCTTGGAATCGATTATTATCGTTTAACATAAAAAAAAAAAAAATTTTTTAAACTTTTTTTTTAATGAAACAGTTTTTAAATAAGGATTTTCTTAACGGATGGTGCCTGTTTGTGTGTGTGTGAGAGAGAGAGAGAGAGAGAATAATAAATTAAAACGTTAATTAATTAATTAATTAATCAATCAATTAATATTTACATTTTTCGATTTGTAAATTCTCACTGTGTAATCAGCTCCCCCCGAAACCATAACTTTTGGATTTGACCAATCGCAACATAAAACTTTATTTTCGTGACCCGTTAAATCGAACAATGGTGCGTTCGGACTCCTTCTGTCCCACAATTTTAATAGATTGTCATAACCTCCGCTAATAAATAAATTTTCATCCGTTGTCGACCACCTGACCGATTGAACCCATTGCGTGTGAGATGTAAATACGTTTTTAACTAGGGATCCCTCTGAAATTATAAAAAAAAATTTTCCATTTGAAACGGTTCATCATCGTCCTCGTCTCGTTTATTTATATTTTTTCCCTCACCTGTGCTTCGAGGATCGTAAAGTCTAATATGTTTATCTGCGGATGATGTGATCACAGTTCTGTTGACATTTGAAAAATCAACGCTAAAAAATGCTTTGTTTCCTTGTAATTCTTGTTTTATCCCTCCAACTTCAACATCCCAAAGTTTTATTGTGTGATCCCAAGATGATGTTATGAGATCGTTAGAATTTGAAAACCTAACGCATGAAATGCAGTCGTGATGACCTTTGTATGTCATTTTAGGTAGCTAAAATTTTATTCAATAGAATCATCAACACATCTCACAAAATTGTAACAAAAAATAAATTTTTATGTTTATTCATTTTACCTTAACATTGTATTTATTTGTTTTAGATCTTTTCGCTGTCGATTCTCCATCTAGAGTATCAGATTCTGATGAATCTGTCGACCAAATTTTTAACAAGTGATCCCAACCTCCAGATGCGAATATGTCTTTTTTGGGACTAACTGAGAGTGATTCAATATTGCGTTCATGCCCTTTATAAACATTTACTTTTTTTACTAAATTACTTCCAATTTTCCACTCCCACAAAATGGCTGTCGAATCACTTGAACCACTAAAAGCAAAAATAATTACATGGTTATATGCACCTTTACAATGCATTCGAAACTTTAACGGAAAATATATTGTTTGCAAACCTAAGGAATGTAGCTACATTGTCATCGATTGAAACCCATGAAACAGTTTTTACAGCAGCAGAATGTCCTGTAATTGTTTTATGATGTTGACCTTTCAGGTTCCAAATATGCACTGTATTATCATAACAAGAAGTTAAAATCCAGTCGTTGCTAACGTGAACACCAGACACCCAATCATCGTGAAGCAAGCAATCTTGAGGTTCAGGGGCAGGATACTTTTCAAAATATTCAATTTCAATAACATTTTCAGTTGATATGTCTTTTAAATTAAGATGCTCTTGCAAATTTGTTCTTAATAATTCTTCATTTATCAAAAATTCAAAATCAACAGTTTTGTGACTAGAAATTTTATCTTCTTGAAGAAGTTCATTTAAGATGGTGTTTAATTCTTTTGAAACTACCTTACAAGATACTGCAAAAGGGGTGTCAGGAACTGCATATCTGTAAAAATAAGTAAAATATTGTAATTTTCATTTAAAAACTTTTTAAAATGGTTATTAACACATACTGTTTATTTACAGTAACAACCACATGCAATCTATGTAATGAGCATTGAGAATTTGAAAATCCTTAACCAATTTTTTGAATTCCAATAATTCTATTAGAAATTTATAATTTACAGTTTTAATAAATATAGTAAATAGAAATATAATATGTACTTACTTTTCTTCCTTGGTAACAAATCGAATTTGTAGTTGAGGTGTCTCATTACTATTTAAAGACATGGTTTTAAGATTAAAATTGTTGAAATTAGTTTCCGGTATTAAAACCACGTTATAAATTCATATTTATGAAAATATACTGAAAAATATTTGTAATCATTCCATGCGAAAATTTATATTTTATTACAGAGACAT